TGAGAAGACGAGCAGAGCCTCAAGCACTGTTAGCCCAGGCATGGTGTTGTTCAGTTTTACAGTGCAACTGCCAAAATGTTAAAGAAAACATGCATTTCTCATCCAGACAAGAGAAGGCTACCTCATTTTTTTAAAGAATAGTTACAAAGCTGGATATTTCTGCAATAAAAATGAGCTCTGTGAATATCAACTAGCTGAGTCCCTGAAGATCTGCAGCTTCCCAAGGAAACCTCTATGAATTGTGCCAGGCGTGCATCATGAATAATTCCTACAACAATTACCTGAGAAGTTCAGTAGCATTGCACCAAGGCTCTGTGTGTCCCATGGGGATGTGGGCAGTAAGGTCCCCAGCAGCCCTGTGCACCCTGAGCGATGGCTGCCCATCTGACTGCATTACACATAGAGATGTGGGGACAAAAGAGGACGTCGAGACGTGCTCCAAATCCACATGAGAGCTTATGCACCACTTGATGCTACAGATGGTCAGGCTCTGGGTGCTCTGCGTGACCCTCAAAAGGGACAAAGGAGTGGCTTCTCTGTATGAACCCAGGAGGAAGGAGGGATGCAAGGAGCATTCACTTGCAGCTCAGATTCAAATTTCCTCCGTCCATCAGAATAAGTTTGCTGTTCACTCCTTGCCCTTTACTTGAGCTTCACGGCACCTTTCTAAGAGCACAGACAACCACTGCTGAGCCTCACAGCACCTCGCAGGTGTTATATCTCACTTCCTTTCCTGTTAGAAGATCAGCATCCATCAAAAAGAAAAATAAAAGTAATGCCTTATTTATAACAGTTGCAAAATCAATATAATCATCATCTGGCTTCCATAAGGCAATGACTGTGCTTGGGGGCTCCCAGCAGCCTTGTTAGCCCTGTGCACAGGGAAGAGCTACAGGGACAGCAATACCAGCACACACCTGTCCAAACTGCAGGCATCACTTGAAGGCTCAGGATTACTTTGTGCCACTAAATCCAATTTATCACAGAGCATCTGCAACAAACACCATATAAGAGATTAATCATGGAGGTTAAAATTAAGAGAGGGCATAATGATCTCTCCAGTAAAGCAAGATGTCACTAATCATAGAATCATAGAATGACCTGGGTTGAAAAGCACAACAATGATCATCTCATTTCAACCCCCTGCTGTGTGCAGGGCACCAACCAGCAGCCCAGGCTGCCCAGAGCCACATCCAGCCTGGCCTTGAATGCCTGCAGGGATGGGGCATCCACAGCCTCCTTGGGCAGCCTGTGCCAGTGCCTCACCACCCTGAGTGAAAAGGGAAATACCCTTATTTTTCAATAGTCCACTGCCTGAGTCAAGAGTTCACAATACTCCACCCAAATACTTCATCCTTCCACATCTCATTATTCTCAGCCTTTTACACATTCAGAAATAAAAAAGAAAAAAAACACCTCTTCTATTCTACCATTATGGGGGCATCGTTAAAGAGTACAGCTCATTAGACTACAGAGCTTCATGTCTGTAACGAAGCTATTAGAAGGAAATTGCTATTGCCACAAGTGATCAATGCCAGCATCCTCAAAAGAGCAGTAGGAAATTCATTTCTCCTTAGGGAGAAGGGAAGTTGTTTCCTCTATGGGATCTCTTCTCAGCACAAAGAACAGCAACACGGTAAGGACTGAGATTTGTAATATCACAATCACTGACACACTAATACACAATTGCATCCAGGAAGCATAGAAGATCCACAGGATTCCAAAATCCAGGGCAAGGAAATGCAATTTTCTGAAAAAACTTGTTGAAGATGAACAACATTTTACATAATAGAACCTCAGGGAGCGAAGGGTGCTAATTATTTTCCATGCTCACATGTCATTTTTTCCAACTTCAATGAATTGCATTTTAATAGCAGAACAGACGCCCACATTGTTTTGGCCTCCACCACTACAAAGAATAACAACTGTTCAGCTGATGTTGGTGCTGTTTTTCTGGGCTCAAAATGCTGAAGTCAGAGTGCAGGTGGGAGCTGTGAATTGTGGAGTTCTTCACAAGGACAAGAAATGGAAACCTAAGTCCATTTAATTGCTGTATTAGTTCCCATATTGTATTCATCGAATCTGCTTTAAGACTAATTGAACAGATTTCACACCAGTGTGACCAAAAGGAAGTAGATAATAGATGTGAGAGGCTCATAATGAATACAGAGAGAAAAGGAAGCGATGGCCAAGGACTATTTGTGACCAGAAAATACTTTCTAACTAAATTCCTGGTAATCTAATTACAAGAGCACATTTTCTCAGCTAAAAATAAGTTGCAGATTTGTCATTTCTTGCATTATTTCCCTATGCACGAGGACCTCTGTAGGATGCAGCTGAAACATTCACATTTTCAAAGGTTTCCACAGTGACAGTGGCTGACAATCTTCTAGTGTACAGCAATGGTCACCTTGCCATGACTATCATGATTCTGTGACCTGATTCTTACTGCTCTCTTCCTGGCTGTCCCAGCAGCTGGTCAGGCACAGAGGAGCAGTGGGCAGCAAAGCCCTCCATCCCACAGTGCTATTTGGAGTGTTCTGCTGTAGGAAAACAACCAAAGATTAGAAGGGTCCCACCTGAGTTACTTGCATCTTTGTTTATTTACTGCTTCCTAGCTCCTTGGAAAAGGCAATCTGTGCCACATCCAGCAGCTCCCCCAGAGTACCAGCAATGGAGTGGGAGCTCTCTCCAGCCAAGAGGACCTGCTGCCAGCTGCAGCTCCGTGGGCTCACTCAGCAGGGCTGACCTCCCATTGCTTCTTGATAATGGTAACTTTTTATTATTATCATGTTTATTCCTAAAAATCAGATTTTTAAACCACAACTCACTGAATGCCAGCCAACAATTCTGGGGAGCTTCTCAGGCAAGGCATAGATGAACAAGAAAAAATCCTGCTCTGTATCTTCTGAAGACAACTGTATTCTAGTAAGTGTTCTAGAAACTATATTGCATGCCCTGTTGAAATATGGGCTCCCTAGAATGAAGAAAATCTATTTTTCAAGGGTGCAAAGTACCCAGAACTCTCATTCCACTGCTGCCACAGGCAGTGAGTCCCCATAGGGCAGTGACCCAGCACGGTTTTTTGAGCTCACTGCAGCCACATATGCCTGCAAAGCTGAAGGTGTGACTCATTTTCTGCAATAATGATTTAAAAAAGCTCTGCCACTTTAGAAAATAAGCTTCTGGTGCTGAAAGCTCGTTCCCAGAAGGATGGTATTTACGGTGAACTCCTCCTGGCTTTCAGCAGTGTGTCTAGCAGCAGCCAGTTCACTGATGGAAGCATCAGCCTGACATGTGCAAGTGAAATCTCTGCAGACAGCAGCCCTCAGCACTCACTGAGGCTGCCTTGGAAGCTGAGCTGGGAGAAGATAGGTTGCATTGCAGGCCATGGGAGAGCTGCTGCCCATGGATGGAAATGAGAACACAGAGTGCCTGGAGGCTCTCAGAGCAGCTGGGGCATGGAGCAGGCGCTCCCCACAAGCTGCATTCATTGGTCATGCATTCCCAGACACACTGAGCTCCTGTTCCTGTTGCACTAAGAAGGCGAGGACTTTATAAACAAGCAGAGCTCTGTCAAGGAGATCCCAACTATTAGTGCCACTTCATCCTAAGAGAATGAATCCAAAAAGGCTTGAGTTTGTGCTGCCTAGCAGGCAGCAGTTCCCCAGAGCTGCAGTTGACAATGGGATGAAGGAAGAGGGAGGTGTACCCCCATGTACCCAGGGATGCAATGAACCTGGAGGACATGCCCAGAGATCCCCTGGGACTTGGAAGTGGTCCCACATCAGGTTTCCCACCCCATGGCCAACCCTGCTGCTAAATGGGAGGTGTAAATTCTGACCATCTATTTTAGAGACTTTTTCAGCTGCCATTCTTCCTTGCCTCGCCTGATCTCCTGCTTCATAAAGTGGAATAAAATCAACTCTCCAAGGGCTTTCTTGGAGCTCCTGTTTCAGGAGCAGAGCTACTGCTGGGAATAATTCTGTCACTGTTTTTTGGGGCTTTTGTTGGTAGATGCGACACACCACTGCCTCGGGATATGAGGCAGGGGATTTTCTTCCCATCTCAAGAAGGGGTGACGTGTCTGTTCTGAAAGCAGTGCTCATAAATATCAGGGTAGGCGTTTCTGAAAGGAAAGTTCTCCGTTTTCTCCCAGCACAGTCGCTCCGATTTTGCCCTGAAATCTCCTGGAAATTCCTCCTGCTGCCAAGGAGGGCAAACCTGAGAAAGCAGAGCCAAGGTGTGCTGCAGGAAGACCCTGACCCACCAGCAGGAATGGAGCCACAGTGTTTTCCGACAGGAAAGACAGTGGGAATATTCCTGCTTCATCTGCTTCCTATTCAATGCTCTTTGGAAAGTCCTCATCCCACAAGGACTTCAGCACATGTTTATCTCTGCAAATATCCTCAGAGACTGCAGTGGTACACAGAGCTGCTGGTTTATTGCAGCAGGGAAGATATGCACAGGGTTAGGAGGCAAATAATCTATATATATATAATCTTTCTGGAATGAGTGTTTCACCAAGATTTACACTGCCGTCCTTAGATGCAAATAACATTACATTATGCAATAGTCCAACAAAGACATTTATGTATCCCAAAGCCTGTTCTGCTTCTCCCTTTCCAACTGTAAACTTGGAGAAAAAGAGCATAATAAGACAAAACTAAACAAACTACAATGAAACCAAACCTCACACACAATTCCTAGGGTATTTTGAGCTGGTAATAAGTTCAGGTCCCTGCACATGGGGCAGCTCCCACCCACCTCATCAGCAGGAGGAGACTGAAGGTGCTCAGGGTCTGCCCTTCACCCGCCTCTGTGCCATCCATGACACCAGCCACAGCCTTCAGCTGACCTACAAAGAAAACTATGGGGTTTATCACTGAATAATCTGATTCATGGGAAAATGCAATTACTCATTGTTTTGAAGAAGGAGATTTTGCTGCCCATCACTTGCATTGCTGCCCAACACTGCTGGAACAGCGCTGGTTCCTTACCTGCAACAGCTCTTCACTTCAGCTCCTTGTTGAGCTTTCATAGCTTCACTGGTTATTTATGAAACCCAATGTCATTCATTTTCCTTCCTGAAAAATACAAGCAGACACATCACCAGCCAATCTGGCAGTGCCTGAGACCAAAGACCACCATCTCACATCCTCACCCAGCTTTGCTTCATGACCCGTCTGCCTTCCCACTCATCCTCCCCCTGCCTGCTGAACTGCTTTCCTCTCATGAAAAACCTTTCATCTCATTTATAAGCAAAAGCTGATACTCTTTTTACTTTGTTAAAGGCACTTGAGGCAGAGTGCTGTATGCATGTGCAGTGCTGTGCTGCCTGGTACAGACTGTGCATAAAGCAACCCAGGGAAATGGGCAGTGCTGCTCCTGGCCAAGGCTGCCTTCACTTTTCCTTCCACACCTCCTCTGTTAAAGGTTGAAGTTGAGGAAGTGCCCTTTTCCTAAAACATTTTGATTATCACTTTTCTCCATCTCAGGGATGCACTACAAAAGCCTCAATATGTTAGAAAATGATAACATAATATGTTATTCTATATTATATTATTTGATACTGGTATAAACTGCATAAAATCAGTAATTTCTACATTATTTTTGAGTTTTTTTGCTGCTATTATTCTTGCTGTTGTGTTGTTGTTTTTGTTTTTAAGATTGGAGACCCTCCCCATGTATCGGCAAACAGAAAGAATTCAGTAGATGTACCTCAAGGAAGAATTCTGTGCTCCTTGCCATTCGGTCACTATTCAAATCCTGAGTAGTAAAACAAAGCCCAGACAATTTAATCTCTAAAGCCCTTCCGAAGAAAACAGAGGGTGAAGCGAATCTCTCCTGCTGTCCAGTTTTGCCACAACATGAATACTTTGTGCTGCCCCACAAGTCTGTTGTAACACTCAGCACTTAAAAAAATCAGTTATGAACACTGGAGGGAAATGACTGTTTACAAGGGTGGATGGTGATAGGATGAGGGGGAATGGTTTTAAACTGAGACAGGGGAAGTTGAAGTTGGATGTTAGGAGGAAGTTTTTTTCCCCCAGAGGGTGGTGAGGCACTGGCACAGGTTGCCCAAGGAGGCTGTGGATGCCCCATCCCTGCAGGCATTCAAGGCCAGGCTGGATGTGGCTCTGGGCAGCCTGGGCTGCTGGTTGGTGACCTGCACACAGCAGGGGGTTGGGACTGGGTGAGCACTGTGCTCCTGTGCAACCCAGGCCATTTATTATTCTATGATCCGTGGGAGAAACCTAGAGACATTGGTTCCTTCTCTGCCTACAGAGAGGGAAATTGAGATGGCAAGGATGAAAAAATAAACTACTCAGCAGCAAAACTGAAACCCTGCTGCATTTCCTAATCCTTCATCACCCTCTGGCTGAGATTGAGCTTGCTGATGTCATCTGAAGCCCTACATTAAAGGCAGGTGAGAGCTGCTACAGCCACCAGAGTGAAGCTCTTGGTAAAGCTGGCTGCACCAGGTACACTGCTACATGTTCCCATTTCTGTACATGCACTGCATACTTATATATGCATCTAACATGCTGCCCAGCCTTGAAAAGCCAAGCGTCAGACTCCAGCCCACATCGTGCTTTGCCTACAGCCAGCTCCATACTTCTGGCAATGATGGTTTATTACAGATACCCAGAATTACTTAAGCACAGTGCTGTGCAATGCACGTGCTCTGACACTGTACACAAAAGGCACATTACACCTCCTAAGATTAAAATGCCTGGCTCAGCTGCACACAATCTACCACATGAACTCCAGCACACATTATGATCATTTATAAAGCAGTTTCTTTGGGGTAATCCCCAGTAGGTAAGACAGATTATCTGATTTCCACTTGCAGGACCCACACCAAATTCCTTTGATTAATCAGAAGCCATTAATGGTAATAGCAATGAGTTTGCCACTAAGCATACTATAAAATATGTAAAGCCTGGATGACTCTCAATAGATCTTGGCAAGTGCCTCATTTAACCTTCACAGCTCATGAAAAACTGTTCCAACTTCTTCGGTTTAAACATGAAAACTATCGATTGTTTACAGCACTGTATGACCTTTTCTGACAAGTGGGAAAAATTATGAGATATTAGGTTGTAATTCAATCAAGCAATATCTTCTAAATTACGTTGGGTTTCAAAACGCTGATGTTGCTTCTGCACATTTATTTAGGCTTTGAGCCCCCTTCTAAGTCTTTGGAGAAGATAAGCATGAATCCTGCTCCAAACTGCAGTGCTCCTTGGAGGGCTCTGAATGCAGATAAATCTGCAACGTCCCTAAGGCACCAGATCCGAAAAGCTGCTCTAAGGAATGATAAGAAATGCTGAAAACATCAACTGTTTTGTAGATGTAAACATGATCATAAATTGATGTTTAGTGGTTCTGTATAATACAGATGATGCATGACATGGACCAAAATCCTATTTCACACCACGTGCATAGAGTCATGCCTTCCACAAACCAGTGGGTGCATAAGGCACTGTTTAACCTAACAGCACTCAACAGCAGTGTGCTGAGCCCTGACCTGCTATCCCAGCCCTTGGCTCCAACCAAACCTTGCTGCTGATCACACAGCCTGCAGGACTTCAAGAATTAAAAACACATTGTGACAGCGATTCTTTGTCTCCTATGGGATCTCATTTATGTCTCTCCTGATGGTACTTTCACTGTTTGTTTTACTTCAAAGTCTTTTACTCTTTCATCCCCAGAACTATGCCTCCAATGTGAGAAGTTACTGTCTCTTATTATAGACCTGTAATTACAAGCCAGAAGCGAGGACTGAAATGGATCCACGGGAGCACAGTGTTAAGGAAACATCCCTTCCAACTCAATCAATCAATTCTATAAACAAATGAAATCTATAGAAGCTATTAGAACAATATTTTAGAAACACAGAATAATAGAATGGCCTGGGTTGAGAAGGGCCACAATGCTCATCCAGTCCCAACCCCCTGCTATGTGCAGGATCACCAACCAGCAGACCAGGCTGCCCACAGCCACATCCAGCCTGGTCTTGAATGATGCTTTCAGCATCAAGTGCTTCTGAAGATAACAGACATGAAAGAGAGACATTGCTGGTGGTCACCTGCGAGTGTTTGAAGTGACAGACCATTTTCTCTCCATCAGTAGAAAGAGTTACCTGGAAGTTGATGGCATCTCTGTGAGCACTGGCAGTTGCAAGAGAGAAAAGCCAACTCTGAAGGTTCTCCACCCTGCTTTGCTCTCTGGTGGGCAGTGCACGTTGCAGAGCTGCTCCCAACATGCTCCCAGCACACATCCCACCACTTCCCGCACAGAAATTCACATTTCATACATTATGCAAACTGCTCAGACCAACTTCAAGTGTTCTGACTTGCTCGTAAGTAATAGGATTAGAACATTTTAAAAAAGTAGAAATATTCTGTGATGCATACCTTGCTGAAGGAAACTCACCCTGCCTTGAAGGAGCACGGAGAAGAGGTGGATTTTATTCTGCTTTCTGCTCTCCATCTGGGATTTCTTCCAACTAAAATCTATCAAATCAAACCCCCGTTCCACAAGTGACTTTAATGCTCGAACTGCTGTAGAAGTGATTAGAGAAATACTTACACTGGAACATAAATAATTGTAAAAGTTGGGATTAGAAGCCTATGGGAGCAGCATCCTTTCATGAGAAAGGATGAGCAGAATGCATTTTCCACCCTGTTTTGACTTGGAATGCTTCCACCCACACATAAGGCTGTTACTGTGAAAGCTGTAAATGTTTTTCTGTTAGGGACATTAAAGCACTGGGGCTGCTGTATGAAGCTGAATACGGAAGGCTTTTTTACAGCTGGTGGTTTAATGGTAATTGGTCCTTGTCACTCTCACCTGTTTCAGGCACTGAGATTCCTGAACATCCTGCTGTATAATTTAGGGCTGATTTATGGGAAGAATGACAAAACATTACCAGTCTCAATGGAAACATAACTCCCCTTGAACAGGAAAGTTCAAGTTTACCAGAAAGAGGTCATTTGAGTTTGTTTTACTGTGCTCCTTGGTCCCAAACTCAACCTGCTCTTTCAGGAGGGCAGGTCTTTGAGGAATTTCACCATATAAAATATTGAAGAGACCTCAAGCCACTCTGAGGAGCACAGACTTAATGTGAAGGACCAGCTCCATCTCCACATTGCCCAAACCCATGGCACCAGGTCCTCCAAGGAACAAGCATGAGCACAGTTTTGAAAAGGAGCTGCATAAACAAATTTTACCTCAAAATAAAGCAAACATCCTCTATAGGGGACAACTGTCAAGGTAAGTTAGAGGCATTTCTAGCAGTGACCATTTCAGAAGTTGCCAAGGTGAGATAAAATAGTTTAGCATCACAGAAACATTAAGGCTCTAAGATCATCTAGTCCAATAGTCCACATACACAATATTGACCACTAAAACACATTCCTCAGTGCCACACAGAATCACAGCATGGCCTGGGTTGCAAAAGAGCACAGTGCTCACCCAGCTCCAACCCCCTGCTGTGTGCAGGTCACCAACCAGCAGCCCAGGCTGCCCAGAGCCACATCCAGCCTGGCCTTGAATGCCTGCAGGGATGGGGCATCCACAGCCTCCTTGGGCAACCTGTGCCAGTGCATGTTTAGGAATGTCTTAACTTCAGAACTTCATACTGACAAGGAAAGCATCTAAAGTGTGTGCATGATCTTTTTTTTTTTTCCCCTTTTCCTCCAATGAAAAATTAGGCAAAAGGCACAAACGTACAAACACAAAGAAGTTTGGACTGAATATGTACCCAAAGCAAACTGATTGATTTCACATGATTTAACCATTCTCTTATAAAGTCAAGGTAATAATTTGGAAAGCCAGCAGCTTAGCATTGATCTGTGACAAGAGGACACCATCATAACACCAACCAAGGTTACAGTCAATGAGAGGGGAAAGAAGTGACCTGAGACTGGCAATAAGGCACAAGGTGAATGGCTATTCAACAACTGAACAATTTCCCCTTACTTTCTCAATCAGCTCTTAACACAGAGGTACATAAACTATTCCAGCACAGCTCAAGGCAACAGAGCTTGCTGCATTTCAGACCAGTGAGTTCAGCTTCTGCGAAAGCAAAAATAGCACAATTCACCAAGTTCAAAAATTCTGTTTAATATATATGGAAGCAGCAGGTAAGGGTTCATTAACAGCTGTTTGGCGTAATTACTCCATATGCATCAATGTCTGTTTTTTAAATATATACACAATTTTAACATCTGTGGGAGGCAAAAGGAAGACCAAGAATGCTGAGCTGGAGCCATCACTAAGGCAATAAAAAAATAATTGATAATTTGTAGAGAGACGTTATCATATCTGCTTCAAATATTCAAATATTCAAATATTCAGCATCTCCCTTTTGTTTTTTCTTCTTTTTTGTTTTCCTCCCCCTCTCCTGGTAGGGAGCAGTGGATTGGGACATACTCAGCTCTCCTTGTTTTAAAAGAAAGAAATCAACCCCCTGAGCCATCGATCCATTGTCATGTTAAGAAGCACCATATTTACCACCAGCAATGCACAGTCAAGCAATCAATTTCTCAGTTGCAGGAGGTGCAGCGTATTTCTGCCATCAGGTTCAGGTAGCTTAAGAAGCTAATCACAGCTCAATTAAAAGTTACTGCTGCCAGTTGGGAGCGATTACATGAAAACACCTGATTTTAAAATAAATATCTTTTGAATGATGGCTCAATTGTAGCAATGGTTGTGCACTCCCACAAGAAGCATAAGGAACCATCAGCAAGAGCTGCACCTTCCACCACTCATATCCAGGCACATTTATGCTCCGGGTCATTTGAACAACTTCCAAAAGTGAAATGCAGCTTCTGAGAGCCCACTGGAGGCTGCAGCACAAGCAGGAGCAGCACCTGCTGGGCTGAACATGGCAGTTCAGAGTACAGGAGCTCCACAATGAGTTGGCCATGAGTTGAGAATAAACAAAACAATCCAGTGCCTGAGCAGCCTTCAGCAGTTTTAAGCTCCTCTCTAATTCCAAAACTATGTGAGGCGTTACCAAAAGACCCAAACGAGCCTAAGCCAGCCACATTAAACAACTACTGGTATCTTCTAACAGGTCACTAATTTAGGAATGCCCCACACAGCACCTACTGCTGCAACCAAGCTACCCAAATGCATCGTGCTCTTTGGGACAGGCTTGGGGTGCTGTGACCACTGCCTCCAGAAGCTCATGTCCCACATGAGCCCCAAATGCCAGCAGAAAGCATAGCCCTGGCCCAGCACCATCTGCACACACCTACAGAGAAGCAAGGCTTGTTTCTAGGATGAGAGTGAAGCGTGAATGTCCTTCTGTCCAGATAGAGCAAGAAGCCAGAGGAGGATCTTCACCATCACATTCAGCCCTTCTGCTCCTTGGGGCCAGAAAAGGAAGGGAGAAAAAAGCACTGTTAGACCTCATCCAAAAGCAGATATTTCTCTCAGTGTGCCATCATGCCTTCTTCCACTATGAGGAAAATACTATCCTGGAGGCAGAGCAAACTTCACAAACAAATGCAGAAACAAGAAAATTGGAGATTTCTTTCCCTAGATAACTTTTAGTGTTATCTCCAGAAGATTTCTCTGGCATTCTAGTGTCAGAAACGCATCTTTCCTCCTCCTTCCTATCATACAAACCATAGGAAAGCAGCAAAAAAATAAGGCATATATCCTTTAGAAAAACAGCTCAAATTTATTTCCCTCCTTCCCAAGAACTCTGGTAAGTTATAGCAACATTCACCTTCTCACCTTTGGAAAAATATCCTTCATTTCCTGGTCTGAGGTTGTCCAGCTTCAACCTCCGTCACCCTCAGACAAAGAAATCAATACAAACAGAAGCATTTCAGCTTTCTGGGAAATGGCAGTGGGGTCTTTGACACGGCAGGAGGCCACCGTGTGCTGCTTGCAGTGCATGGCAGGGAGCAGCTGCACCAAGGAGAAACCACCTCCTCCTGGGGAGGAAACTCCAAATTATACAGATATGAAAGCCTTCTGGTTTTTTTGGGGGAGGCAATTTTTTATTTTATTTTAATTTTTGAACTAGGATAAGTTTAGACTGGATATCAGGAAAAACTTCTTCACAGAAAGGGTTGTTAAGCACTGGAATGGGCTGCCAGGGAGGTTGTGGAGCCACCATCCTTGATCGTGTTTAAAAACCATCTGGATGTGGTGCACAGGGACAAGATTTAACAGTGGGTTGTTAGGGTAGTATGGTTAGGTTGTGGTTGGACTTGATCTTTAAGGTCTGTTCCAACCTGAGCAATTCTATGATTCTATGACTATAAAACAAAAAATCAAAAAGGAGAGCACTTGAGACAAAAACTGCTTCTCAAAAGCAATACAAGAATGAAGGTAACTTTTGAGATCAGTGCTGCCCCACAGACTGAGTATTACTCTTTGGGATGGCTGTTGTGAACATCTATGTGCCATCAGCTCTGAGAGTGGGGCACTCGTGAGTAGACATAAAACCAAAGTATTGAATATATTCTTTCAATTTTCTTTCGCAACATTTTCTGTTTCTGAAGCAACCTATGCTTCCTGCACAGGGTTCTGCTGCAGGAGCTCCTGGACAGGTGGTGACAGTGTGAGAACTTGACCTGGACTGCAATGGGAGTTGGACATTCACAGCAGGAATCAATACCCAACTGGACCTGACTGCCTCTTCACATCAGTCCCACTCAGGTTCTGTCATATCCACTCCTTGTCCTGAAACAGTGGATGAAAATAAATGAAGAGCAGAAATCAAGGAGGGGGAAAAGAAATAAAGGATCAATCCTATTTCCACTAAAGGCACTAAGTTTTAGTTTCAGCTGACAGCAAATGCAAAGTACTTTTGAGGGGAAAAAAAAGGAGAGCAGGAAAAGATCTGAGAAGAAAAGAGAGATGGTGTCAGTAAGCATATAGTCAGTGAATATAAAGATGTTAAAATTCTGAAATAAACAAAAGAGTTTGGCACAGCAGATTATAATAACAAAAAGAGAATAGATAGAAAGTAGATAGAAAGCTTACCCACATCCTGGGCTTGCTGCAAAACTCCAGAGGAGGGATCTCCAGAAAAGATCCTTTCCCACTAGCAATCAGCTCTTAAATGTGTCTAGGAGAGATGCAGCCAGGCTCCAGCCCTTCCAGTAGCACAGGAAAATTGCCTTCACCTGTGCTCCTCTGGCTGGCTCATGGCTCGCCTCAGGTGATCAATCAGAGGTTCAGGCCGTGATTCAGAAGTTCCCATACAGTAAGCAAATGGAAAAGAGAGCAGCAAGTTCTCGTTCAGCAGGCACCTTACATGTGGCTTCACCTTTAGAAAGCAGAAGAGGTCCAGAAAGTTTCCCATTTCAACAGGAGCATCCATCAGCAGGACCAGATTCTGCCCTGTAGTGCACAGAATGGGGGTCCCACAACCCACCCATCTCTCAGTGGCCTTTGGAGGAGAGATACAACCTCATCTTCTGCTCCTCACGCTGCCAGCAAACACCAAAATCACATCTGTCTGTGCTCTGGACGCTCAGCTCTGAACAGCAGTCCCACACTCATCCCACACCAAGCACTGAAGAAACTCCCAGAAACACAAGCAGCAAGAAGAGACCGTGCTCCAGGTTTTGTCCTATGGTAACCAAAGGAACACTTGTAGCACCACTGAATGTTTTTTCTTTAAAAATATTAACTTCAATGCCTTCCACTCCAGTGAACACTCCATCTAACACTCCATTTGCCATAATCTGCACCTACATACTGAGTCTTTCACTTAAATGTATCTATCATATTCACATCGTTGCTGCAAACAGACAAGCCTTCCAGAAATGGCAAAAAGTGAAATGTGTTTCCCTGTACTTAAATGGGCATTTCTGCTCACAGCGACACCTTATTTGTATGTGGAGTGAAGCACAAAAGTAATAGCCATATCTGAATTTCTGGCAGGAAAGGAGCTTGATGGATACCTTTAAAAAAACAGCTTCAAGATTTTCAAAACACTACAGAATGTGAGGACAAATGTCTAAAGCTAGAATGCATTTCATGGCAAATTTACAGCTAGTTTGAATGAATAGTCAGGGAATATGTCCCTGTTCATTGCAAGGAGTCAGACTGGGGGACCTTTAAGGGCCCTTCCAACTCAAACTGCCCTATGGTTCTGTGCAAATAAATATTACAAGCTATGGATATCTTTCCTAAGGCCTGAGAATGAAGTAAGTTATTATACATTATAAAAAACTGACTTATTAAAGCTTGAATGAGGCTTAATAATAGATCTTTTAAAATAAAATGGCAAAAATAATTTCAGTAATTCTGTGCTTTGGTTCTAACATGGGGGAAAATGGCAGAGTATTCAAATGTCATTTCCTTCTTGGTTTGTAAAAGTAATGTGATGCATTGCATCAGCTCCTCTGGAGGCTGCTGCCCTGGGATGGAGCTACCTGAACACAGCCAAGGGCAACCTGCACTGCCCTCCAGATCCATGGCAGTGCTGACCTGCATGAGCATGGTGACAGGCTGTAACCAAAACTACCAACTTTAGCCCCATCTCTGACATTTTAGCTCCCTTAATGAGAACGCCATCAGGCAAACTGTAGCCTTGTTGCAAGACCCCATTGCCTCTTCCATTAGCAGACACGCTTATTGCCACAGTGCTCCTGACACGACTTGCTGCTGAGGGACCAAAGACATCAACCGCTGTGCTGACAGAGCAGAATGAACCCTGAAGAGGGAATCAAAGAGGACTGCATGGCCTCAGTGTCACAGAAGCTCTGTCATCATGAGGCTTCTCTGCTCACTTCAGGGACAGCAGTCTCTCTCAGCACTTTCAGTAACGAATCACAACGCAGAGTTTATAACTGAAGTGAATCCGGTGTTATGAAAAACAAAGTATGCTTTTCTAAACAGCTGTAACCAGTAACATCTTAGGCAACAGTAAATGAAAAACTTTACGTATATATATATGTGTGTGTGCATATCCTGTCATAATCATAATGCAGACCCACTGTTTAGGATCAGTTTTTCATTTAGAGACGATTCCAAAACCTTCTGAAGCCAACAGGGCCATTACACGAACTTCAGGAGGCTCTTTGTGCTGCTACTGAGCAGAGAAAGAAAGATGCAAATCAAGGCAATGGTCAGAACCAAAATGTATTTAACTGAAATGCAGGAGGTGCACTCAGAGCCTGGACTCCCTGCATAGAATTTATTTTAAATTTTAATGCTCTGTCATCGTGTTTAATGAACGGGAATCGTACTTAGCTTTGCCACAGGGCAGGTTCTCCAGCAGAACTACTTGGGAAAGTGAAAATCATCCTGCTCACATTACCTTAATATTTCACTCGCATTCCTAACCAAGTCCCTCACATGGAAAACAGCCTCAGCTCCACAACAACTGCAAGCAGAAAATATGCCCCAAAGCCTCAGCAGAGACAGAATTGTTCTCAACGTAGACTGTTGATATTCACCCACACCCTTTGCATTCAATATATAGCCCCAACTTGTTTCTAAAATATATATTTTGAGAGATTTTTACAGGTTAATATCATTCAGAGCTGCACCTGAAGAAGCCACGAATGTAGCTCCTCAAATGGCGCTCTGAGGGAGCATGTGAGCTGACAGTGGGAATCAAAGCTGAACCCCACATCACACCTCAAGGAGAGACCTCATGGGGCCGTGGTTTGGCCACTGCTGCAAGGCAGAACGGGGCCTCAGTGGTGTCTCTGGCACAGAGAAAAGAAGGGAAAAACTGCATCGTGCAGATGGCCCAACAGAGCATCCCTTAATGAGCAGTGACAGTTCTGCTGTATGAGGAGCCCAGCTCAGCACCTTTACAGGCAGCAGCTCTGCCAGAGGCCACAACAATAACGCTGGATTGAGAAGCAGAAGAGAAAAGTGAACGCTAATTATTAATTAGTAGAGCTTCAGGCAATCATGTAACTATCAATGGAAAGCTCAGACAGATACTTGACAAAATCAGAAAGAGAGCAAAACAGAGTGACAGGATGCGGGGCCAAACCTGACAAAAGTGTCGGCTCAGTCTCCAGGGAAATTACACCTTTCACGTCCATTTACATCTGATGTAACAGGGAAGTACAATAAAGAAGAGTGATTCAGTCCCACCAAAGGAACTCAACGTGACACACACTCTGCTTCTAGGCATTCACTCCACAATTATTTTAAATTGCTGGCGTCTGCGTGGCATGGATGAATTATATGAGCGCTGGAAAATTAATGTGTTGAAAAGCATGAACATATTTGCTTTCTTTCAATTCTACCCTGCACTTAAAGTCTTGGAGAGAGCACTCCAAGTCCCAGCTATTTCCTGTTAAGTATAGGCTGTGGTTGGCCCAAGTCTTTCACTAGGTCTTTCCTATGCAAATCTTGGAGGGAATTTGGCTTGTACATTCTGGATAATTCTTTGTCACAGCTCAAGAATCACCGAGTCATGGAATCATAGAATGGCTTCAGTTGGAAGGAACCTCAAGGATCACGAAGCTCCAACCCTCTGCCACATGCAGGGCCACCAACCTCCACGTTTCATACCAGCCCAGGCTGCCCAGGGTCCCATCCAACCTGGCCTTGAACACCTCCAGGGATGGACGGGGCATCACAGCCTCTCTGGGCAGCCTGAAGAGCACAGCTCTCCTCCATGCCCTTTACACATTGCTTACAGCATAGCAACAATTTGTTGTGAGGTTGCCCAATGGCAAACTCTCAGAGGATCTCATAGGTTGAACGTCAGGCAAATCACCCACTTTTTTAACATTTCAATATCATATGTATTTGAAACGCATTCACAATTGGAAAAAAAAAATCAGAAGTGATAAGTGCATGTGGAGGTAAATTTCTAAGTCTTGCTCTCGACATGAAGAGGATTTGTATTGACATGTGTGGATAAAATTTCAAGGCAGAGTCCACACTCATGTGAGTGCCTCCTGCACTATTTACACAAGCAGGCATTAGAACTTGCTCAGCCAAAATGGACCAGTGCCCGACATTAGCACACAAGTCAACCTTTGTGCCTATCCCTTATATCCCTTATATTTTCTCCTACAGCCCAAGAAAAAAAAAAAAGAAGGGTGAAATTGAAGTCTCCCCCACACACCAGCAAATCTGTATTCTGTGCAAGGTACAAAACACTCTTTGTGACTGATGTCTGAACTACACATCTTTGAAACACGGTGTTTAAGATGGAGCAAAAGCTGGAAAACAAATGTCACATTTCTTGGTGCCGGAGGTTTTTTTTCTCCCCAAGCAGAACTCTTTTCTAGAGGTCAATTTAAAATAACTTCATGTTTCTATCTTCACATTCAACAGCATAAATAGATAAACAAATAAATAACCAACTATGAATTTTCCTTCCTCTTTTTCATCCCAACTATACTGTAGCACTTCCCTTGCTGCTATACCAGACTGTTCTTTCCTGGTTTGGGCACAAAGAGACATTTTAAGATGGTTCACTTTCCAGTCCATCCAAACAGGCTCCATTCTCACTGAACTGAAAGCAACAAGACACACGCCTGCACTCCAGATGTGTCTGATACACCTCCCATCTTTAAAGAAATTGCTGAAAGAGGCATCATGCTTTGGGTGTGACACACAATGCAGCAGCAGAGGACAGGTTGCCACATGAGCAGCAGAGCTTGGAGCCCAACCTGTGCAATCAGCATCCCACCAGTCTGCAACGGGATGCTCTGGAAGCTCCTCCCCAGGCTGGATGTGGCTCTGGGCAGCCTGGGCTGCTGGTTGGTAACCCTGCACATAGCAGGGGGTTGGAACCAGATGATCATTGTGGTCCTTTTCAACCCAGGCCATTCTATCATTCTGTCATATTGAAATAGCCATTCATTTCAGGCTTCAATTAATAAGATCCTCAACTTTGACTTTTTCCCTGAAAACCTCAATAAAATCTTATTTTATAGTGCGAAAGCCTGCTTTTAACTCGGCAGTTTTACTCAGTTTTGGCTGTGGTTTTATCAGTTCAAATAATGCTGATAAAAGAATCAAAGGAAAGAGGCAGAGAGACACTAACCAGCCTGGAAGGGAGAAGTGAGGAGCACAAGAAAGAAGTGTGGTCCAAGCAGAGGGAAGATACAAGCCTGAATTATTCAGGAATCTGCAACACAAGCATCAATTATT